TTTAAATTAAATAAAATTCAAAGTAAAAACATAAAAACAACACTTTCTTTTAAATTTTTACTCAATCCATGGAGACTCGTGTATTTTTTCAATCGAAATAATTGGACACATATCATCTGGGATTTCTAGTAGTGCAGGAAGACAATCACTGGAAACGTCTACGTTTATCTTTAATATTTTAGTAATATCTTTAATATTTTATATTTTTTGAAGTTGACGTGAGATTTTTGATTATCCCCCCTCTCGGTTTAAATGAGATTTGGTGAGAATTCATTAGACCCCTCCCCCCCTATTCTGAGCTCATGTAATTAATGCCCCCTAGCCTAAGTTATACACTGATAACGTAGCTTTCTGTAGATAGAAGAATTTTTAAAATTAGTTGAGTAAGTTTTGAGTTTATTCATTACGAGTACATATTAAAAAAAAACATAGAAATCATTAGAAACCGTGCTCCAAAGTAAACCAACTTCAAAAAGAAACTATGTCACTGTCAGCTCTAAACCATCACCATCATCTTCATACCCTTATCCCAATTATTATTTGTGGTCGGCGTAATACGGTTTTATCCATATTACTAAAGGATTTGGCTTATAGTGTTACGACCGGCCGCCTGCCTTTGCGACGATTTCTTAAGTTCAGTTTTAAATTATATTGGATCTGCCTTTTTACAAGTTTAAAACTTTTATTAAAAAAACATTTACTAAACAAAGCCTTTACACTAAATGATTACTTGAATAACAAATGTGCATGGTGTTAGTCGATCATATACGGGCTTATAACGACCATATAATTTTAGACATAGTACATTTAAATAAATACACATAATGTTAACTAAGATTTAAAAGAGTAACTGTTGAGTTTCTTACGGGCTCTTCTTAACCTTTCGAACCCTGATTAAAAAATGATGATTTAAAAATGCATGTAAACAAGATTATTTGTAAAAAAAAAAATTTTTATGCAACTTAGAATGGCAAACAAGCTGACGGTCCACTTGATGAAAAGTGCTAACAGTCGCCTATAGACATGAGCAGTACCATGAACATAACAGAGTATACTGTTTCACCCATGATATCCCCTATGCGTTGCCATTCCTGAGGACTAGGTGTTATTCCTCTGTAAATCTGATTTGATGATTTGAATTTAGATCTTACTTTTTTTTTAATGGATGATAATGGAATGGTAACCCCACTCGCGCTATCGGTATACACCGGCGGGGTACCAGTGAAGGATGATAGGTGAGTATGAAACAAGTCAGTTAGCCCATCGTGACGAATTCAACAAGAATTGTTCACGATGGTTTCCAGGGGGAACCACGTGGACGTCGACCTGATAGGGCATATTGCTAGCAATGGGGCTGTCAAAAACCATTGCTAACAATCCAATTACCCCCTGGATCTTAATTTGATAAAATTGTACAATATATCATCGGTTAAAAAGCTGCATTATGCAAATGATGACGTTATGCAATTCGACATTGATCTTTGTTTTGTAACACCCACGTCTCATTATAGGCATATTACTGTTAGATAATTAAAACACTTGGACAATTAACATAATGTAAACACTATAAAACAAACATACAATGCCATACATATACTGTGAATAGGTAGATGAGATATAACTCTTAATAATAATGTAAATATAAAACATATATATATATATTTTTATACAACTTAGAATGGCAAACAAGCTGACGGCCCACCTGATGGAAAGTGGTAACCGTCGCCTATAGACATGAGCAGTACCATGGACATAACAGGGTATACTGTTTCGCCCATGATATCCCTCATGCGTTGCCATCCCTGAGGACTCAGGTGTTATTCCTCTGTACCCAGTAAATTCACGCCAAATTACGATCATAATTATCGTAAACAAAAAGGCAAACGCAGTGTAGTACGACCCCTGCACTAGATGGAGTGAGGACCTGAAAGGCGTTGCAGGGAGTCAGTGGATGTCGGTGGCTCAGACCCGTTCTTTATGGCAGTCTATGGGGGAGGCTTATGTCCAGCAGTGGACGGATAATGGCTGAAATGATGGTCGTAAAAAGAAACAAATTTATTGTTTTATTTTATTTATTTGTCTATTTACTACTTGGAGCTTTAATAGCTTAACTAATTGGCATGAAATTGGCACACATAGAAGTATATACAGTATTAACTTAGAAGAACATAAGTTACTTTCATCCCAGACTAGTATTCGGCCCAGCTTCACACGGATAGATAGAATTTTTGACAATAATAATATACATATAATATGTTACTGGCTGATAATGTAACTCTTTTTTTTATACAACTTAGAATGGCAAACAAGCTGACGGCCCACCTGATGGAAAGTGCTAACCGTCGCCTATAGACATGAGCAGTACCATGGACATAACAGGGTATACTGTTTTGCCCATGATACCCCCCATGCGTTGCCATCCCTGAGGACTCAGGTGTTATTCCTCTGTACCCAGTAAATTCACGCCGTATCCCATCCTTCAAACCGAAACACAGCCATGGGACAGAAGTACCTAAGCAATCGATTTTTGTACAAAGTCTCCCTCTGATAAAGCTTTTTATAAGTGAAACGATTTTTAAAATTAGTTGAGTAAAAGTTAATTAGATGTGAATTTTTGGAAAAATAGTAATTGTGCCTAGCAAAACGAAGTCGTATACGAGTAAGCAAGTGAAGAAATAATTACTTTGCAAATGTCGTATAACAATAATTTTAGTCAAAGATTATTTACACGCGTGACAAAAACATTACCTAACATAGATAATTGAACAGTATGTCCCAATGTCGAGTTACTGTCGCAGATGCGTCTAATAATGATTTTTATGCAACTTAGAATGGCAAACAAGCCTACGTACAAGTGGGAAACATCGCTTATAGACTTGAACGATACTACGAACATCACACAGTATACTGTGATGCTTATAATATCTTTCATTGGGGGGGGGGGGGGGATTGTTAATAATGGAGACTAAGGGCCCCATTGCTAGCAATATAGCCAACCAGGTCGACCTCCACGTGGTCCCACCTGGAAACCATCGTGCTGAATTCCAAGTGTATTCGTCACGATGTTCTAACTGACCTGTCTTTTCATCCTCACTTGTCACCCCTCACTGGTGCCCCGCCAGTGTATACCGTTAGCGCAGGCGGTGTTACTATACCATCGTCACCCATTAAAAAAAAATCTTTCATTTATTTATTCATTAAAAATAATTACAACATTATAACAGCAAAAGCCAAATCAATGTCATAAATCTAGTGTGCTAACATACAAAGTTATAAATGTATTGAACCCGACTCTAGATATGTCTGAGCCGCTTCTAATATCTTTGGCAGGCTACTACTAAATATATCAATGATGTTTATAATATATTATTTAATAACCGTACTGCGCGAGTTAAGGGAGCGTGCTGAAGTAGGTTAGTTCTTACTGGCGGGACATTAAACGTAACCGGTTAACGGCGCGCGCTAACATAACCATTCGGTACTCGCAATTGGACCGTCTCTAGCACTTATGGGTGATGCACCCATCCGCGTAACATACTCACAACACATTTTACGAGAGCCAGATCTCTCCTCACCGCCAGTCTGCTGTATCATAAGTGATAATAGCTGAGAACTTAGGTGTTTTTTTTTAATAGATAAAAATGTAATAGCAAAACTAAACGACTCGACCGATTTTTATAAAATTTCTATGGATCTAATTTATAAATATATACTTTCAGATAAAAAAAGGAATTTTCTAATTTGATTTACAACTGACGGAGTTATGAGGTTAACTAACAAATAGAAATATACAACCGAATTGATAACCTCCTTTATGAAGTCGGTTAAAAAATACTTTTGGAGAGAGACCTAACTCCCACGGTGGGACTGCTGTTTAAAACAATAACAAATATTGTTTTAACGTTCTTTTACGTATCTACTTTTTATACCATCATTTCCTGTTATCATTATGGAATATAGCCCCGTAATGATTCTGAGAATGATTTTGTAATTTATTTTCGGTTCACACTAGTACTTACAGCGGATGGTTATTTTGGAAATGACACTCTAATTATATGTCCAATACGCGACCATTATAGACTTTTTGCTCTATTATTCTACAGCTGTGAGTTGTTTCAATTGTTTTTCAAATAAAAAACTAAACAATTGACCATGCTACATAATTGTAATAGGCTAATAATGAGTTATTTATACACATATATATATATATATATATATATATATATATATATATATATATGTATATATATATATATATATATAGGTATTACAGCAAAAAAGGTGCAGTTAAATTTCAAGTAACATTTGAATATTAAAAAAAAAGGAGATAGCAAACAAACAAGCTGACGACCCACCTGATGAACCGTCGCCTACAGATATGAGCAGTACCATGGACATAATAGAGTACACTGAGTTTAACAGAGTAGGCTGTGTTTTGGTAGTGGAGTAGGTTGGATTTTGGTTGGCAATCACAGGCTTTTGGTGATGTTTAAGAGAGACGCCGCTATCCATCCGTCGACAATTATGTTTCCTTAGTCGCTTCTTACGATATCCACGGAAAAGGAAGATTTTTGCCATTCCATGTTGAGACCACACGGTGTAAATAAGAAAATACATTTATTAATATTTATAATATATGTATGTAAGTTGTTATTTTCAATGTAATAATTAAATGAAATCATTTAATTAAAATTTATTTATTTAATTATAATTATTTAACTATTGTAATTAATTAAAATTAGTAGTTAAATAAAATTAGTAACTAAGTTTAATTAATGATTAAAAAAGGTAATTATTAATTAAAATTAATTATTAATTAAAATTAATTATTAATTATAATTAAGAATTAACTAAAATTAACAATTAATTAAAATTAATGATTAATTGTAATTAATGATTAATTAAAATTAATGATTAATTATAATTAATGATTAATTAAAATTAATAATTAAATTAAATTAAGTACTAAATAACTAATAATGTTACGTGTTTGTTGGCAGGTGTACCACATGTGCGACGGCCTCGGCCGCCAGTTCAGCTACACGTGCCCCAACACGACGCTGTTCCAGCAGCGGATGCTCATCTGCGACCACTGGTACATGGTCAATTGCTCCAAGTCCGAGAGCGACTATGACGCCAACCTACTCATAGGTGAGAGCCAATTCATATACATTTCCACCATTGTACAGCTCGCCATCCTCAAACCTTAGAACCAGTATCGTCACGGATAGTGTAGTTTCAGAGGAGCTTCCTCCTGCGAACACTCAGGTTGTGGAATGAACTTTTTACCAAGGCTTAACCTAGAGACTAGCAGTTCTTAAAAAAGGGCATATAAGGTTTCTTATAGGTCGACAACGCGTGCGTGACATCCTTGGTGTTACAGGCGTCCATACGCTACGGTAACTTCCTTTATCATGAGATAGATAGACCGTATACTTGTTTGCCTTCATAGTAGTATAAAAAAAAAACATACTAAATCCTGATCTTCAGGTTTTTTTATACAACTTAGAATGGCAAACAAGCTGACGGCCCACCTGATGGAAAGTGGTAACCGTCGCCTATAGACATGAGCAGTACCGTGGACATAACAGAGTATACTGTTTCGCCCATGATACCGCCCATGCCTTGCCATTCCTGAGGACTCAGGTGTTTTCCTCCGTACCCAGTAAATTCAGGGTAAAATATCCTGTGTTATGAGGAACCAGGCAACCAACGTACAAGAGCACGAACCAGAATATCCTGACTTAATTTAGAATAGTTCTTTTTTTAAATTAGCCCGGAATCGAATCAAAGACTTCATTTACTCAAAGCAACATCTGAGGTCATAGTCACTAGCTTTCATTATGACTTCGTACGTGACAAATAGTAGCCTGTATCCTTCCTTCTCTATTTCAAATACATCTGTCATGTTGTTTGGTCGAGCAGTTAAGGCACTAAGAGATAGCACTCAGAATAATATTTTTTTACTAAATCCACTTTATAACATAAAAAGTATTCATACCACTAATTATATAACCAGCAAACGATTTATCTTTTACTGAACTCTAAAATGGTGAACTATATTTTATGCCAATGCATTTTGTTTTTTCTACTTTCGCCGTATCGTGTCTGATGTAACAAGACAAAGTAAACGCTATCTTAATGACCTCATTCTGTTTCCTGGCTATAAATCTACCTAGATAGGATAGAGAATTGCATTAATAATCACTGCAAATAGATCCAACGGCCTCATCTTACATAACGTAGGTCAACCACCTAACAGGCCGAGGAATTGGCTCAATACAGCCGAAAAGCATATTATCTTATCCTCCGCTTGATCTGTGACCACGAAGATAATCAATTCACGATTCGATTGTGTATTCGCATTCATTTCTAGATGCACAAAGCTTCGCGTAGGCGATTAATCGAGTCGTGATGGACAGTGCGTTTCGATAAACGATGTGCACTGTCCATCAAATCTCATCAGGCTTTATTGAGTCGACGTTCTACATTCCGATGTCACGGCAGGAAATAAATTTATTATTCGATTGTTAAGTGTGCAATAGTGGATTGATTATTTAAAGCAATATCGAATATCATATACTTATTATAGGTAGCTACGTCGTACATTATCCATAAAATATTATGCCAACTCTAAATCCAGTAATAGTGTTCTAGAACCTTTTCCTAAAGAAAGATTGATATATAAAAATATTTTTTATACTTTTTAAATGAAATTTTAAAGGTGTATAGGCATTTAACTTAAAAACTAGTGTAATTATGTTCTATTAGAATCGGTTCAGCAAATCATGAGTTACAAAAATTTTGCAGTATCAAGTAGGTAACTATTTAAGTTTTTATGATATTGATATTTAAAGACAAAGGCATGCTATAAATATTTATACAATATAATAAATATTATTTTATTGTGTTGATACTTAAGTAGTACGCAAAAGAAGAAGAGGAAGACCGAGAAATAACTACATGGAACAGATAAATGCAAAAAGACTGATTACTTGGCTTAAAACTAAATATTACGATTAAGTAGAAAATATAGTCTGGAATTAAAAATAACCATATAAATAATAAATAAAGAGTACAAAAAAATAAAAAACACAAACTATATTATTATATATATATCTATACCGCACACACACACATACACGCGCGCGCGCGCGCACACATACACGAGCACATTTATTGTCATAAATAGACACTTTTTCTTTTTTATATGTATTTTTTTTTAGTATTATTGTATCAAAAATGAAAAAGAAAATAATTAAAGCTAATTAAAATAAAAGTAAATTGTAATGATTGAAATTTAATTATTGTTATGAAAGAACGGTTTCTCCTAACACAAGCAATCTTTGCTTAACAGGAGATACCAAACCCTGTAATGTAATTAACTACCTTTGTATAAAGAAATAAATATATTATATTATATAATAAAAAAATACTAGGCGTCATGTCGTATAGGGAGGGAGGATATGGCCTGTGATAGAGTTGTCTGAAAGAAGATGCATGAATTAGTTGCACCGACAGGAGGAAACTCTTAAATGAAAAGAAAAAAGATCTTAGTAGTTAGGTACATAGATTCATTTTCCAATTACATGTGTATGATTATAAGGGCAGTGCCGACTCTTTATGTGACATAGTGATTACTTACTCTATGCCTCATTCTATGTTATCTAGGTAACTCATAGATTAAGGATAGTATCCTAAGAACTGTATCTGCATACTTATTGCTATAGATTCTTTTTTTTTATTTATACCATGAAGGTGACAAGCAAGCATATAGCCTGTCTGTAGGTAAACGGTTATTGTAGCCTGTAGATGCTGCAACACTAGGGATGTCACGTGCGCGTTGCTGACTGAAGAAACATTTAAGGTTTCTTCAAACTCTACAGTATATTATATACGCTTTTTGAAAAATCCTATACAATAATCTCTAGGAAAAATCACATTAGAGAGCTCAAAGAAAGTTCCTTTAGAACTGCACTGTATGTGAACCATTTAGGTTCAAGCGTGTGAGTTTGAATTCTTTGTCGATGGCGAGCGGTGCGATGAAGGCAGGCAGGTGGCTGTAGGCATCATTTCCTAACACACTACCCATTATATAAGTGGTAAAATACACAAAACGAGGTATTGCTATTGCTCTTTGAGTTACAATTGTTGTATAAATAGACGTAATTAAATATTTGTTTGTTGTCCTTGACAGCTTGTTTGGCCATGCTTCCGAAGAAGATATGCCTATAATTGGTCGTGATTGGATCAAACATTGGATTTGGGGAATTAGTGATGCGTGACCCATACTAATTACATGTTTTGTTGAAGATACATAATGCAAATAAATATTTCCTTGTTAATTTAGGAAGCTTTTAGCGGTCGTGAACTTGTTGGTTTTGACCATTATAAATTATAACTAATTCTGTATAAAAAAGTGTACATTTTAGATTGACAGGTATTTAATTAGTAACAAAAAATGGTAACATAAGAAATATTATTTTGCCAGAGGGAGATTTTGTACAAAAGTCGTTTGTTTGGGTACCTGTCCTATTCGTGTTTCAACTGTGAATCAGTTGTGTTTGCATGGCTGTGTTTTTGTTTTTTTTTTTTTGTTGGATGAAAATGGATTGGTAACTCCGCCTGCGTTAACGGGATACGCTGACGGAGTACCAGTGAAGGGTGATCGATGAGAATGAAAACAGGCCAGTTAGCCCATCATGATGAATTCATCAGGAATTAACCATGATAGTTTCCAGGAATAACCGCGAGGAGGTCGACCTGGTTGGGTATATTACTAGCAATAGGATTCTCAGTCTCCATTACTAACAATCCCTTCCCCCCCCCCCCGCTGTGTTTTGGTTTGAAGGGCAGTGGATTTACAGAGAACAGAGGAATAACACCTGAGTCCTCAGGAATGGCAACTCATGGGGGGTATCATGGGCGAAACAGTATACTCTGTTACGTCCATGGTACTGCTCATGTTTATAGGCGACAGTTACCTCTTTCCATCAGGTGGGCCGTCAGTTTGTTCGCCATTCTAAGTTGATTAAAAAAAATTATTAATACACTCATGCACAGAAATATTTACTAAATTCAACAGAATTCGAAATACCATTTTATACTTAGCATTATGGTGAAATTTGGTGTACAGATAACATATGGGATGAAAAAGGACATAGGCTACGGATGAATGGTCGCAAGTAAATGCTAGTCTACCATGAAAGGTATTATTATAGTTAAAAATCCCTTGGTAATGGGATACTAGTATACTTGACCTTCCCTATCAGTTACAAGTATCAAGGATGAACAAATACCCACTTAGTGTCTAGTAACTTGATACTAATTGTCATTGATATTTGTATATATTTTTTTTATACGACGGTCCACCTGATGGAAAGTGGTAACCGTCGCCTATAGACATGAGCAGTACCGTGGACATAACAGAGTATACTGTTTTGCCCATGATACCCCCCATGCGTTGCCATTCTTGAGGACTCAGGACTTGAGCGTTCGCGGGAGAAGACATCTTTGAAACTGCATTGTACGCGACCATCTAGGGTATGAAGGTTAACTCTTCGTCAATGGCGAGCTGTACGACGACAGAAAATGGCCGTGGGCATCATATTGAACAATTTCTCTGAGCACAATCCGTTGTACAAGCGGTAGAATATGCAGCATGAGGCAAAATCCCTCCTAAGACTTATTTGTATTGGACAGCATTTGGACAACAATTACAAGATGGAACGGTATTTAGGCAACCGTACTTAATTCAACGATATATGTAATAGATTACTTTTCGTTTTTGGTTCCATTCTTATGCGCCTAATAGCGTTTAAGGAAAAATCATAAAAAGTTAGAGCTGCGGATTCTAAGAAAGCTCCAAATTTATTATGTAATGTAAATTGAACCAATTTAACTCTGTAGTAATTTATTTATCAATATGGCTGAGGAATACCAATATGATTTATTTTTTAAAAAGGACATGGGATTATAACTCAGTTGACGCTATCGGTATATACTGGCGAAGCTCCAGTGAGAGATAATAGGTGAGCATGGAGTCAAGCCAGTTAGCTCATCATGATTAATTATTCTTTATTGTACACAATGTTGTACGCGGCGTTGCATGTTCGGTGTACTTTGAGGCCGCCCACCCTATACCATACAAGCAAACGCATCCTCTGACAATGTTCGTCAGACCCAGGCTTTCAATAGCCAGTGCTGGAGGCCCAATGAGGCCTAACCCAATTCGAATAATTATCCAGGTATTCACCAAGATAGTTTCTAGGGAGGACAGCATGAAGGTCTACCTGACATTGACGTTACTACATCCATTGCCTTCTAATCCTTTTACTCCTGACAATAAGTTATTTAAGAAAGAAAAAATATTACGTATGGTGTTTGTCCTGTTTCAGGTCAACGCGACAAACCGTTCGTGTCAGAAGAGGAGATGCGCCTGCGCACGCCACGGCCTGACATCTTATCCGTGCCTCCGAATAATAACTACTACGATGGACTGAAACAGGCCGAGTCTAAGGTAAACGTATCTATACCAGTTTAGCAAAGGCGAACTTTTCTCTAAAAGAGGTTTCTTCCAGTCAGTGGCATAGGAAGTAGTGATAATATTGTTATGTAAGAAACAATACCTATACATATATAGGTATACAATACCTATACAATTAATCAATCTCGAACTGTTTCTATTGACCATACCGAGATCGGACCGAGATCGAACCCAGAACGGCATTACGAATATAGTGTCGATTCAACCTAATTCAAGCTGTTATTATCTGCATTCGTAAAATATTGTTGTATTTAATTACAAGTGATAATAAATTCTATTGTTATTCGCTTTTTCAGTTCCCGGTTCACCCAGGAAACAGCATTGTGGGCATCGCAGACACAATATCGAATGTGAACAATAATGATTTAGACAGCGGGAAGAACTACAGACCCCCTACATCTTGGTCTACTGGCGTCGGAGACAGAGGCCAATCGCCTAATTACAATACAGGAATAAATCAAGAAGTGACTCACGATAACATCGCAGGTGCCGCATCACAAGCGGCTACACCAACCTTCAGACCGACTGCTCAGGATAATGAAGTGACGAATTCGATACCAACAAGAACGCCAAATGTTAAACTTCCATCACAAGAGCTAAATCCACCGTTCCCACCAGTTACAACGACCACCGAAGCCACCTCTGAAGAGTTCGACATCGATGTCAGAATGAGAACAGATTCTTCAGAAGATCCAGTGTACAACTTCATTAAACGCTTCGATCCAAATTCGCCCAGTTCTCACAAAACAGCTATGACGAGATCTGAAATCATAAATATAAATGAACATCTGCCAGCAGGACAAGTGAGCTCTGAAGATGAGAGGACCCCAAGGAAGAATAAAAATGAAGGAAACTTCAATAGCGTTCAGCAAGGCAACGATAAAAGCTTTACGGAAAGATCGAGGTTTGACTCCGTTAACATAAAGCCTACATTCACAACGGAGCCAACTGTTGCCTTTTCAGATAGTCAACCAAGAGCGAATCAAGTGCCAGTTCCGGAGAAGGAGTTATTGCCACCAAAAACGGATTTCTCGGAACAGCCTTCAACAACGATGGGTCCTCCGATTTACTATGAATGGAAATGGGCAGTGCCCGCTTTCGATTTGGACCCTCCGAAACAGAAAAACGTGTCAGATGATGAAGGAGAGAACACCAAAGTGGTTCAAGGGCGTAGTCCCTTCAGTAGCGTCACCCGACCGACTCCGGTGACGGTAGACCCAACTCCAAGCAACACAGAATATAATATCAGTTCATACTTCGTGCCTGATTACGTTTTTCCTCTAGACAAAGCGCATCCAGGATATGACGACGACAATGCTGAGACGTCCTTCCAGGTGAAAGTTGCGAGGCCAGGGAGAGCGAGTTATGGGGAGAACCCCAACTGCCCGCATTGCCACCCCGCTTACCTGAACCCAGGCTCTTGTGAGCCTTGTATTGTGAAGCGGTAACACCCATTTGTGTGTAATAGAGGAAGCCTTATGATACCTACTATTTAAGTGAAAAAGCCATAGTACTAAGTATTTTTGTATACAGTAAACTGTAAATAGACCTCTTTGCAGATATTTGGAGCACTGAAACAAAGACCATACCTGTTTGTCATAACAATAGCAATAAAATAATATAATATTTGAATAATTAAGAGTCGACCTTCGGTATAACTTTATTGTATCCTAATTTTTATGTGATAAATCAGGAGTCTACGTAATATGTTATGGCCCATCTATATACCCACTAATTTTAGGTAAATTAATATAAATATTACAGATTTTCATATTACCTAAATACCATTTGTTCTTTATCACAGTGCAGGAATTTATAGAATCCATGCCCTCTTGAACAGCACGACCCTTCCTGAGCTGGGGTTCAATTTACCAAAAGTTAAAATTGTGTACCTCACAACTTTTTTAAGGAAATATTTCTAAAAAACGATAGCCATTAGCTACTTGTAAATCTATTTAATATTAAATTAGTATTGTCACAGAAAAATTTTGACTTTTCCCTTTTGATTAGACAGTTAACTCTAAAAGAAATATAATTAACTGTTTTTTTTATATTGTAACAAACAGTTTTATGTAAATTATTAGTTATAAAATAACCAATTTATTTTATAATTAACAATAATTACTTACTATATAAGTAGATACATATAACATTCATGTCCAGAAAATAGATCAACGCTTATAGTTTTATATTACCCAAATATTTGTTACCCAAATGTTGACATTTGGGTAACAAACATGAACCCAAATACCTAATAAAAATAATGTGTACGAAATACAATTATTTAAAGCATTTATTAATAATTGTATAGTAAATTTTATATTTGTTGTATATTTTCAAATGCACTTTCTTCCACGCACAACCTCTCTTTGGAATCAACTTCCAGCAGCAGTATTTCCGAACCGATATGACAACATAACCTTCTAGAAAAGAGTATATTCCTTTTTAAAAGGCCGGCAGCACACCTGCAATGCCGCTGGTGTTGTGGGTGATCATGGGCAGCGGTAGTCACTTACCATCAGGTGAGCCGCATGCTCGTTTGCCCATTGTGTTGTAATATATATATATATATATATATATATATATATATATATATATATATATATATATATATATATATATATATGCTGTTAGGAGTTTTGCCAATAATTGCCACGTTTGGTAGACGGGTTGGCAACCGCAATTAGACTTAGAGTGGTATTTTAAGAAGGACGCTGCTGCCCTCTCCGTCAACCAGCAAATTCCCTTAATCGCTTCTTAAGACATTCATGGGAAAGGAAAGGGTGGCCCATTCTATGTCAGGACTACTCGACCAATAGGATATCTTCTATGTATATAATTATTTTGAACAAGTTTTGATGATTTTTTCGGTTTCGTTGTTAATTAAAATGAACACAAGATCAATTCTATAAGAAACTCATTAATTTCTATATTAACTTATAAATTATAAATAAATTTCGAGTTTTTACATCAACAAATTAAGCTCGAGTCTGGTATCGAACCTGGGAACTTCATAGGACAATGTATCGATACTATTACTGAAGTGTTACAAAAGTTGAACTTTAATATATTATTCTATAGAGTCGAATTTGCCATTATTAAAATTGTATATTAGCTCTTATATTTGTGTAAGGATTTATCAAAATACCATGACATACTAATACTTAATACAATATTAATAAGGTTTAATTTCCACTGAGGCAATATGTACCTATGCTGAGTGTTTATAGAAATATGTACTTTAATAATTAATAGGAATAAGTGCTATATTACCACTTTTAGATTACTACATTAGTAATTACATACTTAGCACTGGATATCATAAAGGACATTGTCACCCATGATAAGCTTTCATGGGTATTTATTCTAAACCAGAGAAGTAGTGTTACGCTTATGCCTCGCTGTACCCATTAATTGTAAAAAAAAAAATAGATTATTGTATACTTTGCCTACCGAAAGATAAAAAAAAAAAACTAGATAGAGTAATAATGTATGTCACATTAACCTACTTCCAATAACTAGCTCATAATTTATTTATATGTTTTTATAATATGTTTTTGTACAATTTTACAATGTATGTAGATAGTGATATAAACAATAAATTGTTTTAAAATTATAATCAAGATCACTGTTTTATTTCACGACTAACTGGTGCCCGCGACTTTGTTCCCGTAGTATTTGTTCCTCCTTTGATTCTAACCTTCTTATTGCATTGAACTATGTCTGGGGAAACTGGACCAAAATAAACAAATGACGTGTCGTACTCACTCTTAGCCTTAGGTCAAAATGATTTTACTTAAGTAGGTTGTGTACTAACCTGTATAAGTTACTATCCCACGGGAACTCTTTAATTTTCCTATGATAATAAGTTTCTGGGTCGTGGTACAATGCAAGCGTATGGGAGGAAGAGGATTGTGAACTTAATAATGGGATCTAGGGAGCCCAATGCTAACAATTTACCCTATAATGTTTTTTATAAATCGCCATCGTGGATAATTCGTAGTCAGGGCCGTAGCTAGACCCCAAGTTTAAGATAGGGCTAAAGAGCTTTTTGATAGGGTAAAAGCCATAATTGGTAGGACATTACCCCTCAATGCCTTCTCTCTAGCTACGACCATGTTCATAGTAAATTCATCACAATGAAATAATTGACACAACTTAATCTTCTTTCAATAATTCATTGGTACTGGACTAGTACTCCGTCAATGAATGTATACCGGTAGTGGTGATGTTTCTACACTATTTATATTTCTAAAAAATGCACGCATTTATGTGATTGACATTGCAACACGTATCTAAAATTTACGCAGTTCTGTAATAGTTACTTTTGGGCCATTGACAATTAGGAAGGCAGGCAATTATTAATTTGAAATTTTAGTGACTATAATAAAAAAAATATAATTTCGCTTTAACATTGTTATGTAAGTGTAGATATTTTCATTTATTGTGACTTTGGCGAAAGCCATCAGCCAAAAAGTAACAATTACAAGGTAACAATATAAAATTACAAGACAAATTACAAAAATTATTATAGTTATAAATTAATTATAATATACTAAGAAAGTAAGTTAAGTAGAAAAGTATAAGTTACAATTACATATTTAAATTTCACCAATTGATGAAAAATTTCTTGGTACAAAATGGTATGTTTTAGTAGATCCTGCACTGAAGTAGGAATATTTTGACATTTTATTAAATCTTGACATTGACAAATAAAAAGTAACCGTTGAAGTGAGAATTTAGGACAAACAAAAAAAAAAATATGATCCAAATTAGAAAAAATGTTTTGGCAGTATTTACAGATAGAATTATCCAATAAATTAATACGTTGCAAATGTGCAGGAAATTTACAATGACCTATCTGCAATCTACTTAATATAGTATAACCAGACAATTTACAGATTTTGTTAGAATCAAGCCAAGTTTCATTTAGTAAAATGATATCAAAATGTGATGTAAAGTTGTAAATAAAGTTTTTAAATTGAAATATTTTAGACAGAAAGCGTCTTGAGTTTCAATGAACAATATTAATTTCATTTAAAGATGTAATGGTCATGTTGAAAAATTAGATATGAGTATTTCCTTAATTAATTTAGATGAAATTGTATCAGAATTAGTTTGAGCTTTCTTAACTAGCTCAATAACAGTCTTAGTAATTGTGTTGAGTACAATGTCTGAGTTAATGATGTCAATAACTAATGCCCTTTTTTGAGGAGATTTATTTTGCGTTGGGCTGTTAATAGACACAGGGGTATTTGAATTAATTACAGAGTTAACCGATTTTGAAGTCACTGATGCATAAGATGTTTTGCCTAGAATTTTATCTTTGATTTGAGACAATTTCATCGATTTAGTGGGACAGCTATTAGATACTGCTACATGTTGTCCATTACAATTAACACATTTAGGATTGTCTTTGTTGATACAGGATCTATAATCATGGGCACCGGCACATATGGAACAAACTTGCTTACTTCTGCAGGAACTGCTTCCATGACCAAATTTGTAACAAGTGAAGCATTGGAGTAGAGGTCTAATGAATTCACGCACATCCAGCCAAATATGATCATACGTTACGTGATCAGGTCGCTGCGTAGAGAGGAAAGTTACTAAAACTGTAGGAAGAGGATGAAAACTTCCATCTTCTTTCTTTTTTTGAAACGTTTAACACCGATGATATCTACAGTAGATTTTAAGTTATTTAAGAGATCTTCCTCAGATATTTCAGTAGGAGCTCTTATAACTCCCTGAGATTCCAGCTGATTATTGGGTATCCTAGCCTGAAGTTTATGTTTCTCTAATAAATCTTTATTTAATAAAAATTCGTTAGCCTGTTTCATTGATCGAAAACATATTTTGAATGCAGTAGAACCCATAGTACGAATATAGAATACACCAGGTACAGTCCTCAGAATAGAATTGACTTGCAATAAGTTTACATTGTTGCCCTCAATAGGAGACAACAGGATAAAATATTCATTTTTAGTAGTGTCAGAATATAGGTAATTTTGATCTTTAAACAGTCCTCTTTTTGAGTGAGTAAATTTAATACTCATCTTAGCATCTGGCTCTTCATCAGATATGGAAGTATTTTTTTTTCTTCTTGCCTCCGCTTGACTCGCACATATCCTCTAACAACACACGAGAGCTTAAATTGGAGAAATAAGTAAAAGAAACTAGGAGAAGCAACAAATATTAAACAAATAAAATGAATTTAAAATTTCCGCCCTCGCGTTACAAGTTTTCCCGCCTTTTTCCGTAAGTGTAGATAATAACAAACCATTAATATTATCTATTCTGAATGTAGAAAGAGGTTATATTTTTAATCTAATTCACTAAAATGTTTTGGTCTCAATGGGGTCAATCCTAAAATATCATTTCCCTAAAAATAAAATTTTAATTTGATATTACAACAAAATTTTTATACCAATGACCAATACAAATTAAATTTTTAATAGATTAATAATCAAAATTATATTAGTTTATGATGATCCATAAAACAATAATTTCACCAAATTATTAAATTAAAATGTTAGATTAAGAGGTAGATTGAGAGAGATGACGCCATAGAATAAAGCCCACTAATTCATATTATTCTGCCATCTGTTTAACTGCAAGATATTAACTGACGGCGACTTACATCAGTCAACGTCATTCAGTTCTTTAATCCGAACATAGATACGAGTCGACTGCAACAAACATTGCCAGAGTAGGTATTTTTTCACATTTTAGGGTGAAAATATATTTGCTCGCGAAATTATGCATATGAAATTTTTGAAGAAAAATAAAATGTGCGTGGAGGAATTTGCGTAATTTCTTTTAGTAAATTTCAGCTTTATTACTTGTAAACTCTGTACAAGTAATTAAGATACTTAATTACAATAAAATATATGATTAATAGTACATTACTGCAGCGGCCAGCAACTGAGGCATTGATGGATAAACGTGCAAATGTGGGCCGAGGCGTAGCTGAGACACACATACGTGAGTTCATCTATGCTTAGTTGTGTCCAAGGCTTGTATAGTACTTTTCTCAAACAATACGCGGAAATCAAAAACACAATTTTATTTTTTAAGTTCAATGACGAATAACGAACAATAATAATTTTTCACGCGCCATAATGTTCCTTTGTTTTTTTTTTCGATAAACAGATTTTTATTTGCAAGCCAGTTCGAAATTTAAATAAAACCTTTTATTAGTTACCTTTTTGGTAACCATGTTTCGAAGTAAAAGGTCTATTAATTTTTAAATTACAGGACAGATATGAATTTAGATAGTAATTTATCTGGCCACAAAACACGACAGATATGGATTTTCATACGACTTTTGCTGGCAGCTGCCCGCATGTATCTGACCAGTATGGCAATTTTGATTTATCTCGAAAAAGATTGTTAAAATAATGCTCTTACATTTTCAAGCATGTTTGAAAAAAGGTACATTATGGAGGGAAAAGTAAAAAATAGAAGGAGTAAACTTTTTTTTATGTTTATTTTGTTGCACGTAGCAATATGTAATTAAAATTGATATAACTTTGCGATAGGGTATAAAATCTAAAAATTATGCATGGATATTATCAGAACCATTCCGATAATTATATATTGGATTTCTTTAAACATTGATGACGGAAAAAAGTAAGATTACCCATGTTAGTAGCGTTCATACTAGTCGGATATCAATAATAATTTCGATCTGGTTCTTCATTTCGATATTACGTATTTAATAGCCGACACTTAATATATCCGTTAATTAGTAATATACAGATATATGGCATTTATTATCCTAAAAATAATTTCGATTTGGATTTAAAATCATATTTGAGGTTGGGGTAAAAATTTAAATTCACATCTGGCAACTCTGACTCCGACTTCAACTTCAGTTCAGTAATGGCTGCCAATGATAAATATCATTGTGCGTGGTATTTTTCATAGAATTGTATTTATTTATATCATTAATTTCCACTTTAAACAGTATTTACGATATTTAATTTTTACTAAAGTTAAAATCTTTTGTTTGCCGTTTTAGCTGTATCCATTAAACATTATTAGAAAAGTTATTCTCATATGAAGTGTGCATTGTGTCGTGTGTAATTTAATTCTCAAAATGAGTAAGATTAATCCTTTGGCCGGTTTAATTGGTAACTATGGAGACTCTGATGACGATTCCGACGATAATGTGTCTCCAGTGAAGTCGAGAAATGATTCGAAAGTCAAGAATTCAGCTATACAAGGTCCTACTATGGTTTCCCAAACATCGGCGTCCATTCACCCTGCACCCGTACCGTATTGTCGTGAGTAGAAACGTGATATTTTTATTGTTTACAGATAATTATTACTTTATCAATAGGAATTTAGATTTCCATTTCATGTTCTGACGTATTGTGTCTAGTTCCTTATTATATTTTTGGATCATAGCATGTTTTGTTGAAAGGTTTTTATAACCTAAGAAAATCATTAACCGCCTCTAAGAGTACCCTTGGACAATCACTCCCCGATTGTTAGTAATGTAGGCTGCTAGTCCCATTGCTAGCAATATACCCTGTCAGGTCAAACTCCATGTCTTCTTCCCTGAAAACCATTGTGTTGAATTCCAGGTGAATTCATCATGATGGACTAACTGACCTGCTTTTTCATTCTCACCTATCATCTCTCACTGATGCCTTGCTGACATATACAGTTGGCGTGGGCAGGGTTACCATTCTATTATTAATCATTCCAAAAAAAAAATGATCATATAATCTTTATGAAACATTTTAAAGAAGTTACTGAAATGTAATTTATGGCTTTAAACAAAACAATAAATGATAAAAAAGTGTCAATAATGCTTCTTATTTGGTTAACTTCCATTCAATACACTTATTTCATAGTAAAAAATGCCAGAACTATGTTACAACACAATATAGCCCTTGCAACATATGATGAAAATTACTTGTAATTTTTTTTTTATACAACTTAGAATGGCAAACAAGCTGACGGCCCACCTGATGGAAAGTGGTAACCGTCGCCTATAGACATGAGCAATACCATGGACATAACAGAGTATACTGTTTCGCCTATGATACTCCCCATGCGTTGCGCTTCCTGAGGACTCAGGTGTTACTCCTCTGTACCCAATAAATTTATGCCATATCTGATCTTTCAAACCGAAACACAGCCAGCTGTGTTTGCACACAACTGCTTCACGGTAGAAACACAAATGGGACAGAGGTACCCAAGTAATCAACTTATTTTCTAAATTAGACTAGTTGATTATTTTTTAGTTTTGCTACAATTACCATTTACTAACAATTTACTGTTCAGTTCTTAGACTGTGAATGGTCAGAAATGCTCAGAGTAGCAATCTATTAATAGCTTGAAGATGCTTATTTAGAGGTTTTTTATAAATGGGTGATAATGAAATGGTAACCCTGCCTGCGCTATTAGCATATGCTGGCAGGGCACCAGTGAGGGATGATAGATGACAATGAAAGCAGGTCAGTTAGCCCATTGTGATGAATTACACTAGAATTAACCATGATGGTTTCCAGGGGGAACCATGTGGAGGTCGACTTGATAGGGTGTATCACTAATAATGGATCAGTTAAACCCCATTATTAACAATCCCTTACCTCCGCCTATTTAGAGGTTTTTTTTTAATGGGTGATAATGGAATGGTAACCCCGCCTGTACTATCAGTATACACTGGCAGGGCTCCAGTGAGGGATGATAGGTGAGGATGAAGCAGGTCAGTTAGCCCATCGTGATGAATTCAACAAGAATTGTTCACAATGGTTTAGACCCCATCACTAACAATGGGGCTGTCAAACTCCATTGCTTCCCCCACACGTTTAGAGGTGAAATACATGGCACAACATGTGCATAGAAGGAATAATGGTCAGAGATTAATAACTTATAAGGAATTAACTAATACTATTAGGGAATGTTGTAGAACTTCTACCAATAATAATAGTAAACCTTCGAATGTTGGCAGTCACATGCAATACTAATGGTAGCAGAATAAAATAAAATAAATGTAAGTAACCTGTGATATGAAGGCCATATAATAACACCATACAGTAAAATATATTTTTAATCTGTGACCACTCAGATTTGAATCCTCTCCTTAAATACTCTTAATTTAACTGTTATGGTCAGTGGGTATCTTTAGGAGCAGTTAGTGGTTTTCTTGCAAAAATAATTATTTTTTTCTCAAAGGTTGACTGTAAGAGATCACTGTATGGGATATTGTCACTATTGTATGTTAAATCTTTTTAATGTGTTTAAATAAAAGTATACAATGTAAAGAATTTATAATACAATAATTTGAAATAATACCGTAATTAACAGAGTTCATTTCTTTAGTTGGTGTAATAATATTTATTTGAAATATTCTTTCCTCAAAATGTATAAATTATTAAAATATTTTTTTTTTATTTTCTCTTTATATGTATTAATAAACAATTGTATAATATATAACTTGAATACATGAATATTTGTACATAATAAATACCATTATCATCAATCATACCAGAGGGAGACTTTGTACAAAAGTCGATTGCTTGGTTACCTCTGTCCCATACGTGTTTCAACCGTGAACCAGTTGTGTTTGCATGGCTGTGTTTCGGTTTGAAGGGTGGGATATGGCATGAATTTACTGGGTACAGAGGACTAACACCTGAGTCCTCAGAAATGGCAACGCATGGGGGGTATCATGGGCGAAACAGTATACTCTGTTATGTCCATGGTACTACTCATGTCTATAGGCGACGGTTACCACTTTCCATCAGGTGGGCCCTTAGCTTGTTTGCCATTCTAAGTTGTATAGAAAAAAAAAACCATTATCCTCTAATTACTATTTACAAAAATAAAAATATGGTTGTATAAATAAATGTGATGGTAAATTTATTACTATAAATATCTTTTAGTTCTAATAAGACTGGCTTTCTTTTGTTAAGACATAAATAGGTGTTAACAGATACCCTTTTGTAGTAAAACATCTAAAGTTATTTAGTACCTATTTATTGTAAATTTAACTTTTTATAGTAAGTGTTATGTATTTTCTTGCATCCCTAATAGTGTTTCAATGTAATATTAAAAAAAACTGGACTACTCAATCACGATCCTTTATTCAAACAACTCATATGGAATACATAAGTGTGAGACAAGAGATGTCACAAAACAAACATTCAAAATGACAATACTTGAGATCATTTCCGAAGCAAGGAATGAAGGATCCTAAACTATAATTTCCTAAATTACTTATAATTTAGGACTATTTTTACAAAATATATAAGAACATGTTGCCAAGTTTGATATTTATATTTTTTTTTTCTTATAATTCACAGCATGGTCAGCGTGCTACGACGAGAGCAGTGGCTTTACCTACTACTGGAACCAGCAAACAAATGTGGTGACATGGGAGGCGCCTCCGGAGTATCTTCTTGCACTCAAGTTAGCACAACAGCACATTAATACTGCAGGTAAACTCATCAGTTTAACTATTTTTTTTTTTATTAGTCCTTACCTGCAACTGGGAAGTGAGATTGTGATATGTTCAAATTATGTGTGTACCAAATTTTATACTGATTGTTTAAGCTGTTAATGTAGTAAGAAACAGCATATAAACCCACTTTTACATCTTACTAATTAAAATAAATCATCATCATCATCCATTATCCGTTTCATCCCTTTCAGCCATTATCCGTCCACTGCTAGACATAAGCCCATAGACTCCCCCATAGACTGCCATAAAGAACGGTCCGGAGTCACCTACATCCACTGACTCCCTGCAATGCATTTCAGGTCGTCACTCCATCTAATGAAGAATCATTCTACATTGAGTTTACCCATACGCGGTCACCACTCAAAAACCTTTCTTCCCCATCGGTTGTCGATTCTTTGAGTTATGTGACCAGTCCATTGCCACTTCAGCTAGTTTATTCTTCAGGCTATATCGGTTATTTTGATTCTATTGCGAATATCCTCATTTTGGATTCTATCATGCACAGACACCGAGCATAGCCCTCCTCATAACCCGCTGAGTAACTTGTAGCTTTTGTCTATGGGCAATCGTGCAGGACCATCTTTCGATTCTTTATCTTATATTTTAATCATGATTTCAGGGTCAGCCGAGGTATCAGCAGAAGAATGGCAACTGTACCAGCAGGCGTTAGCAGAGAAGCAAAGAGCACAGAGTAGAGGTGTAGCAAAAGGCCCAACTCCCAAAGTTATGCCGAAAACTGATACAACTACAAATAAAGAGAAAAATTCTAAAGCAATAAAACGAAAGCTGTCTGTCAATGATGATGAGTAAGTGATTATTTGTTAGTATTAATTTGTCATGTTTATTAATTAAGGTTTTTAGGATTTCAAAGGAAAAGGTGGAACTTTTTTTTTAATGGATGATAATGGAATGGTAACCCCGCCTGTGCTAACTTTATATGGTACGCTGGCGGGGCACCAGTGAGGGGTGATAGGTGACGATGAAAGCAGGTCAGTTAGCCCATCGTGATGAATTGCACTAGAATTAACCACGATGGTTTCCAGGGGGAACCACGTGGACGTCGACCTGATAGGGTATATTGCTAGCAATGGGGCAGTTTAGACCCCATTGCTAACAATTCCTTTCCCTCTTTGTAGGTGGAACCCTTGTCATGTAGCAAAAGTAGAGGGGAAAATCCGAAAACTGTAACTTGCCTACCTTGCTTTAGAATTATAATTAATAGTACCGCATTCGAGTATTCTGACACTTCCCTATGGTTGACTGGGAGAGAATGCTTTTAGCATTAAGTCCGCCATGTACACATATTTGTACTAATGAATAAATAAATAAATAAATTTTCTTTTGTATAGTTAAAATCCATTATTGGCTGTATTTATTGAGACTTAGCATGTAAGTTGTTTTTTAAGAGCTGTGTATTTTTGTATTAAATAAATAATAAAAATAAAATATTTATAAAGTCCTATTTGTTACAGGAAAATAGAGTTAATAACTTCATACCATAACTCGGATTCGGACTCCAATGACGAAGAAAGTCCCGTCAAGAAACCACCAATGCAACCTAGCAAGGTGTCAAAGAGTCAACCCAAGAAGCAGAAATCTAAACCACAAGTGGTAGAGTATGGACCAAGTTTACCCCCAAATCAGAACTATATTGTTCCCATCGGGCCTGAGCTTCCATCGGAACTACCTTATGAAAATAAACAGAAGTCTCCTGATAGTAAAGCCAGAAAGTCTCCAATTACTGATGAGGTAATTTTTTGTGTATATTTTAAAAGGTACAAAAAATTTTTGATTGGCAACTCTGTTAAGGTATTGTGTAGTTTGATTCCTCTATAAATGGAGCGACCATGTGGTCCCGGCATAGAATAGGCCACCTTTCCCGTGGGTGTCGTAAAAGTCGACTAAATAACGGCGAGGGATGGGCAGCAATGTTCCTCTTCTTCTCTAAAGCCTAACTGCAGTTGCCAATCTGTCTGCCAAGCGTGACAACTACTGGAAAAACTCCCTAAGGGGGAGGCTTATGTTCAGCAGTGGACAGTTAAAAGCTGATATGATGAGATAGGGAGACTGTACAAAAGTCGATTGCTTGGGTACATCTGTCCCATTCGTTTTTCAATCGTGAAGCAGCTGTGTTTACATGGCTGTATTTTGAAGGTTTTGCTTTTGGTTTGAAGGGTCCCACCCTTCTCCATTTATCATAATTTTTTTTTATACAACTTAGAATGGTAAACAAGCTGACGGCCCACCTGATGGAAAGTGGTAACCGTCGCCTATAGACATGAGCAGTACCATGGACATAACAGAGTATACTGTTTCGCCCATGATACCTCCCATGCGTTACCATTCCTGAGGAATCAGGTGTTATTCCTCTGTACCCAGTAAATTCACGCCGTATCCCACCCTTCAAACCGAAACACAGCCATGCAAACACACCTGCTTCACGGTTGAAACACGAATGGGACAGAGGTACCCAAGCAAACGACTTTTGTACAAAGTCTCCCTCTGGTGAATGAGTGTTTTATCATTATATAATTTCAATTTAGTAGAAATAAAGCCTCGTAAGTATAGGTAGGCTTATGTCCAGCGGTGGACGGATAATGGCTGAAATGATGATGATGATGATGATGATCACAGTGCACCAATGATGAGAGATGCGTCTGACATTTTGCTTAAAATATGAACACTAAATTTATTGACATCATACTTTTTTATTTTAATTATCATTTCTTTTGTCCATATATTGCCAATTCCATTTAATTATATGCTTTTGTTAGAAATCATAATCTTTATGGTTTCTAACATTTGTTACTAGTTTTATAGTTTCAATGTAATTTTTTATGTCAATGAATTTAGATCAAGCATTATGATGGTTAAGTTTTCAATCTGAGGTGCATGGGGTAATAGTGATCTATGAATTGATCCCAGGGGTAATAGTGACTTCATATACAAATTAATTATAGACATTCAAAGATCAATAAAAGATTTCTAGATTTATTCACAAACAATTTTTCTATATATATTATACAGGTCAATAAAGCAAAACCAAACGAGTATGAGAGTCAAGATGAAAAGGCTTTATTAATTAAATTGAAAGACAAAGCAAAATTATTGGAAAGACTTGGTGGCGAGATACCGAGTGAACTCCAAAAAATTATTTCCGACGAAACAAAGTCTGTGTCCTCTCCGAAATATACAGAAGAAAATAGCAGAGATAGCAAAAGTACAGTGGACACGAATATAGATGATTTATTGGAAGAAATTGAGAAAAAAGAGTTGCCAAAAGTGAAGTCCAAGTCTGGAGCAATTGATATTTTTGATGCGGATTCATCTTCTCAAGTTAACAGTAGAAGAAATTCGCCAAAGAGTGGCGAGTGTACACCCCCATTAGAAGAAATCAAACCGTTATTCCCAAGTGCTAAAGCTATAGCTGCAGAAATTACACCCTTATTTCCTAGTGCTGTGAATATACAAGAGAATGGAGTCGAGAAAGAAGTGAAACCAGATAGCCCAGTGCCAACTGAAAAGAAATCGACAAATCTGTATTTGATGGATTCAAATGAACCAATCGAAAATACGAGTAGAAAGAAATTAAGAATCTCAAACTCAGTACTTCCAGAACGCAAAAAAACAGTCGTTTCTGAAACTCCCGCGTACACAACAAAATATTCAGAATATATTGAAGGATTTTCAAACGAGAGGACTGGCTTGGGATTTAGTAAAGAGGAAGAAAGTGAAAATAGTACAAAGAGTACAATCAGTTATGGCAATGGCTTGGTATTCACGAAAGGGGAGACATTGAATGAGGACAAGAAAGATGATGACCTGGATGATCTGACGGAGCTGGTGGAGGCTAAGCTCAAATACTTGAATCAAGTGCAGCCCGGTCAGGTGACTCCAGTGCAAGAAATGTTGATACAAATGCAGGTAATTTTGTAATTTTTTTATTTGATTATATTTAATTGTTATTAAATTCAATTTTGGCTATGTGGTCCCGGCATAGTATAGGCTGCCCCTTATCGCGTGAGTGTCATAAGAGCCGACTAAGGGGGAGCGAGGGATGGGCAACAGCGTCCCTTTTAAAACATCTCTAAAGCCTAACTGCGGTTTCCAATCTGTCTGCCAAGCGTGGCAACTACTGGCAAAACTCTTCAAGGGGGAGGCTTATGTTCAGCAGTGGATAGTTAAAGGCTGATATGATGATGATGAATTCAGTCATTTAATATTTAATTTAGTCATTCACAGAATCAGTGGTTACAGGTGATTCAGAACCGTTTTTTATGGCAGTCTATGGGGGAGGTCTATGTTTAATAGTGGACAGATAATGACTGAGATGATGGTGATATTAATTATATATTTAATTAATTAATTAATGATATTTATTGATGTTATTTATTATATTCAATTGTTTATAGTACATGCAGAGGCAAACATACTGATAGTTCATTTAATGCCAAATAGCAATTGTTGCCAATAAACATGAACAATATGATGAATATCACAGCTTTTTTTTATGCAACCTAGAATGGCAAATAAGCTGACGGTCCACCTGATGGAAAGTGGCAACCGTCGCCTATAGACATGAGCAGTACCATGGACATAACAGAGTATATTGTTTCGATCATGATACCCCCTATGCTTTGCAATTCCTAAGGACTCAATTGCAGGTAGAAATATATATTGATTTCCCACTTTGTTTTGAGTTTTTTATTATGTTTCAATTAACAATTTTAATTGAAACAATACTTTTAAAGCAGTCATCATTCTGATTTTTATTTGTTGATATCTAATTATATTTACGGTCTGTTTGGATGTACAAAGCGAGAATGCATTGTGTTATGGATAACATTCACCTTCAGTGCATCCCTAGAGGAGATGAGGGGTCATAATTTATTTACACTATAGCAATATCAGTACTAGGGGAACAGCACTGACTATACGAGGATTATACTGGGTCAGCGCTCTGTAAAATAGAAAATTAATCTTGAATCAACCGTTAACTGTCCACTGTTAAACATAGCCTCTATTCTTAGATTATATAGATAGAGAGAGAGTATCGTGCCTCAAAAACGGGTCAATTTTTTGTCAGCTAATTGTCAATTTAGTTTACTCTTTTTTTTTATCAGTATTCTATATATTTGCATAAAATGTATTTTGACATATTATTTAATAAATAAAATGAAGCGTTTACGCATTAAAAACATGCAGAATTTATAGACAAAATAAATATAGAAGTTGTAAAGGAATCACACATAACTATTTATCACACACAATTGTATGAAAAAATTGAGTCGAGTCTATTATATATGTATATACGAATAAATGTATGTACGTAAGTGTGACGTGTGCGGCGGCGCGGTTTCAGACGCTTTAATGTATGATAATGGAATGATAACCCCACTTGCGCTAATGGTATACGCTGCCAGCGTATACCATTAGCGCAGGTGGGGTACCAGTGAACGATGATATGTGAGGATGAAGCAGGTCAGTTAGCCCATCGTGACGAATTCAACAAGAATTATTGACGATGGTTTCCAGGGGGAATTACTTGGAGGTTGACTTGACAGGGTATATTGCTAGCAATGGGCCTGTTAAACTCCATCGCTAACAATCCCTTTACCCTCATGACAGGGTATATTAACTAAAATTTCATCCCAACCATCTGGACGAGTGGCGGTCCTCCACCGTGCGTTTTTCAAGGCACTTTCTCCCACGCACAACCACTCTTTGGAATCAACTTCCAGCAGCAGTATTTCCGAACCGATACGACAACATAACCTTCAAGAAAAGAGCATATTCCTTTTTAGAAGGCCGGCAGCACACCTGCAATACCGTAGGTGTTGTGGGTGACCATGGGCGGCGGTAGTCACTTACCATTAGGTGAGCCGCATGCTCGTTTGCCCCCTGTGTGTGTGTAAAAAAAAAAATATTGGTAGCAGTGGGAGTGGTAGTCCGCATTACTAACAATCCGTCTCCCCCGTGCTGCAGACGCTGGCGCCGGCGTTCCGCGCGGGGGCGCTGGCGGCGGCGTACTGGCGGCGCTGGGCGCGCGGCGCGGCGGCCGCGCTGGCGGCGCTGGAGGCGGGCGCCGCGCCGCCCGGCTGGACCTGCTGCTTCCTGAGGTACGGCCCCGCACTCGCACCCGCTCGGGGGAACAGTGATCCCTTACCTATGTACGGGGGGAACAAGTGCTATCTACGGTGTTTCGAATCTATACCGTCGAGACAATTTTCTCCATTCTCCCTCCATAGACATTCCTCTTCGACGCATACGGCTTTTACCAATTGGGTAATCACGCGTTCGAAGTCTATTTTAGTGACTTGACAATTATCGTCAGGGGTAAGTCGACGAGTCCACGGTTCTTAATACTCGCATAAAAGTATCATATTTCGATCCCACAATCGATTTACAATTGTAAATCTGACACAAAAATATAAGTTTTATCATGTAAAAACTATACCACAAAAGGTATGATTCATACATAAATCGAGTGGACTCGAAAGTATACAAATAGACAAATCGAAAGAAATACTAGTTTATTTGTATATTTAGCGATCATCAAATATCGGCAAATTAAACATCACCGTGAATATTACGGTACTTTGTTTAATTACATTACAAATGTTAAATTTTATTACACATGATTTTTCATGACATTTTCATGCTCTCTTATTTACTGTGATATTGTATTGTTTGTAAATAATTGCAATTAAAAAGTCTAATATCAAGTGTATGTTATAAAAAATTATTAATTAATTAATTGTGATATAGAAAGCTTTTACCTTGATGTTAGATGAATTAATGTGTTGTTATTGAAATGAGTTAATTATTCTGTAATCTGTGATATAATTGTGACCAAAGTACCTGATAGAAATAAAAGTTTTCACAATGAAACTTGAGTTTCTTTACATTCTTGGTTTTTTTTTTTTTACTTTTAATTTTTATGTAAGGTCCTAATTACATAAAATATTGTTCAATACTGGTTTAACACCATGCATCAACATCCATAACTTTAGTTGTAAGACGTGAAGGAACATGAAGATCAAGGTTACCCTTCAGCGCCGAGCAGGCTTCGCGCCGAGGATTGTTGGTGAGAGAAATTATTTCCATTTATTTATTTTCTAAAATTCGTGATGTTATGCTTTGATTTTTCCAGAATGCCGCGTTTGTGCATACTGGAGTTGGTTTGCTCTCAAGTCAACTCTTGTATGCGGGTCCAGACAGCGATGTAGGAGGTACACGATCGTGGCCGCTTTCTTTCGAATATCATTTTATTTTATACAAAGAAGGCTCACGTCGTGAACAAGGGTTTAAGTATACACAGAAATATACAGTTCATTAGTTCTTAAGCGAGCCTCGTGTTATTAGTTTTCTATGGAAATTTCAAATGTTACTTGTTATAAAAATTAAGTACATTTTATTTTTTATACTAGTTTTTCGTGATTACATCGGCGTATAATTTGTAATACATATAGATACTATATTTATACTATGTATTTGTAGTCAGCTTTTTAATATCACGGTCGAATTAATGTATAATGCAATATTTAAGCATATGTTTATTAAACCGTGTGTGGACTAAACGAATCATAAAGTGACTGAAAATGTCTTATTTATTTGAAAATTTTTAAAGTTTGATAGCAATTATTAACGATTACATTATGTATATTTAAATATTAGTATTCGTATTAAACAAAACCTTATATTACAATTTGTATATGTAATATTAGCTAAATAAGAAACTACCTATTCAATAAGAACTTTTTCATCACCTATTTAAAGCATATAAAGTATTCTATTTGACAGCATGTGAGTTTTGAAGTGGATATAATCTCCCAATCGAAACCATCTCACAAGTTTTTTATGCTTTTTTTAAGTTATTAAGGAATTCTATAAAGAAACCCCAATATTTTATTACTTCAAGATCTCTATGTAAAATTGCATGTTGGCTAAGTTTTTCTTAAAAATTTTAAATATGTTGTTCACAAATACATTATTGAAATTTCCAGACTTTAACTAACGACACTGGGCGTTTATTTTTTCATTCATTTCACGACCGTTATTTGTACGTGTGTTTATCGCGTCGCAGGTCTGAGGGTCGCTACCGCTACCGGCGCGAGGCAGACGGTCTGGTGCAATGGGAATACCCGGCTACCGCCAATATGGACATGGAGATTTGCACTACGCCGCCACATCCCGGACCAGAGGTAGGATATTCAATTTTACACTTAAATCTGACCTAAATTTAATGTGGGGTAACAATGAACACGGGGTGAATTGAATGGGGTAATTGTGAACATTGGGGTAATTAGAATAGTATATTAATACTAAAGATATACTTACAATTGGAGACTAAAAAGTAATGAAAGCAATGAACATCTAACAAGTTTTATTGTGAAATATTTAGGATATTTTATTTTTATAAATTTTGTAAAATTATATTATAGTTTACAGTGGAAGTCTGTACGAAAGTCTTGGTAGCTGAGTTTCGGTTACTATTGTGATATAGCAGTGAAATTAAGAGGTATGGAGGCGTAAAATCTTCGTTCTCAGGAATAGTATACCCCATGAGTGGTAGTTTTAATGGGTGAGAATGCAGTGGTAACCCCGCCTGCGCTATCGGTATACGTTGGCGGGGCACCAGTGGGGGATGATAGGTGACGATGAAAGCAGGTCAATTAGCCCATCGTGACGAATTCAACTAGAATTAGCCACGATGGTTTCCAGGGGAACCGCGTGGAGGTCGACCTGACAGGGTATATTGCCAGTAATGGGGCTATTTGACCCCATTACTAATCCCTTTTCTCCCATGAGGGGTAGTATACCCCAATACATGAGGGGTACCCCATGTCTGTAGATGACAGTTACCTTTTTCCATCAAATGGATCGTTAGCTGGTTTGTAATAAAGATACAGCGCTCCCAGTAGCTAATTTATATAGCTTTCCTATAAAATCTTGAATTTTTTATCATATTTTGACTCGAGTTTTTTGGTAGAAATTTAAATTCAGTGTAAGTATTCATACTAACTCCCTTAAAATAACACAAATGATTTCGACTAGGGCTCGCTTAATGTAAACATTTAAAAATTTTACAGGTTTATGTCGTATCACCAGAGGAAGACTTTGTACAAAAGTCGATTGCTTGGGTACCTCTGTCCCATTCGTGTTTCAATCGTGAAGCAGCTGTGTTTGCATGGCTGTGTTTCGATTTGAAGGGTGGGATATGGCGTGAATTTACAGGGTACAGAGGAATAACATCGGAGTCCTCAGGAATGGCAACGCATAGGGGGTATCATGGGCGAAACAGTATACTCTGTTATGTCCATGGTACTGCTCATGTCTATAAGCGACGGTTACCACTTTCCATCACGTGGACTGTCAGCTTATTTGCCATTCTAAGCAGTATAAAAAAAAAAAACTTCAAACTAACCTATTTTGTCTATGATTTTTTATGACAATACAGAAGGTAGTCCAATTTAATCTGTAAAACTATTGGATTTTAAGCGCCTATAGCTATTTTATTTTTTTATTTTTATGAATTTATTTATTTATTTATTTTTTTGGAAAACGTACAGCTGAATTACAGTCAATACATAATCAAATTTATATCTATGTTAAGCCATGAATCGTTTTCACATTTGCGATGCGAATTATACTGTATAAAATGGTAAATAAACTAACGGCCCATCTTAAGGCAAAAATGTGATTGTCTCCTGTAATGAACAATACCATGAACGTCACAGAACGTTCTACTGCCTCATGGTACCCTTCTTATTTGAGAGCTACCTTAGGGTATCTCCCCTTAAGCTATACAGGGGGTATAAGATTGTCCGCAAGTTTCTGTGAGTGTCTCTGTTAGGAGGAGCCGCCGCTGCCGCAGACGCCGCCTCCGCCGCCGCCGCCCGCGTGGCCCGACCCGCCGCCGCCGGGCTGCGACGAGCTGCCGCCGCCGCCGCCTCCGCTGCCGCCTCCGCCGCCGCCTGTCAGTTGCGCTCGCATACATACCTATACATATAAAACTACAAAATGAGATCACTTGCACAGAAACCGTACTTTTTTAACCCTTCTTTACATGATTTTTCTTTATTGATGAAATAAATTAAGGTAATATAATTCATGTTCAAAATTAAAGGAAAATATGCTTTTTTTCTGCAATGGACATTAAAAAGGTTATCCAGACACGATCAACTTAAAGTGAACTTGTTCTTTTATATAATTTTTGAGTATTCAATGTTACGATGGAAATTTCCACCATTATGCAAAGAAGGGTTAAGTGATTTGAAATTATGTACCTATTGTAATTTCGAATTTATAATCATTGTTGACTTAAAGAGAGCGTTGTGGTAGAGATTTGAACTCAAGATTGCAACGGTTGTGAGTTCCGATTTCTTGTGGCCATCTTAACTAAATTTGATGTGAAAATAAACACATTTTATCCTTACGATTTTTTCTAATATATAAAAATCGGTCTTCAAAACCGTTCAACCGATTTTAATTGTTATTTGCAATTGGTTATTGTTTGCTACAATTTACATCCTAGGATAGGATAGCTTTTACCCCAATAAAAAATAGAGCTGGGTAGGTGGCGATAGGAGGGAAATGTGCCCCAGGTCTGTCACTGTTATACATTATTAAATTTTTTTATTTATTTCTCGAACTCTCCAGGATTCGAAACAAGAGATGGGCGACGAATTACAGTCATTTTACAACGATATAGCGGAATTGGAGAAAGCGCCAGTGCATCCGAAAACGCCACCACCACCGCCACTACCGCCGCTACCGCCTGCTGAAAGAGATAAGGACAGAGAGAGGGAAAAGGAGAGGGAGAGAGACAAGGACAGAAATAAGGATAAGGACTCAAAGGTTGTTAAGAAGAAATCAAAGGTATGACCATAATAAAATTTTTGACCACAGATTACATATTAAAACCTTCAAGCATAGAGCGTATATTCCTTCATCAAAGGTGGGCAACACACCTGCAATATCTCTGATGTTGCAGGTATGGGCGGCGGTAATCACTTACCATCAGGTGAGCTGCTCGTTTGCTCTTGTGTTATAAAAAAAAACTTGGCGTTGTAGTCGCCACACCCTTGACTCCCATCTTTTCTTATGTATTTTCTATTTTAGGCCGAATTTCAAAAAGAAGTCCCGCTGTATTTTTTTGTTTGTTACCTAATAACTTCGTCAGTCAAAATTGCTGGTGTTGCCACAATTGAAATTTAGGTTTTTTTTTTTGGAACCCAATCTTGAATCATGAACAGTTTCCTGTGCATTACGTGTATGTTTACAAAAAAAGTACAGTTGTCTGGCACTAGTAGTACAAACTGCCTATTTTGGTACCAGATGACTTTGTACAATACATATCTCCAATGGCATATAAATTATATTAAATGTAAAAACTTACTTGTTACAGGTCAAAATATCGTCTTCAATAGGAATGAAACACAAGTCCGTGTCGAGTTTAGTGGCGAAATGGCAACAAGTAGCCGAAGAAATCAACTCGGACTAGCGTACGAAATAGTCATAGAATAACACATTTGTACTTTACCATAGACAAAAAGGAAACGGCTGGAAATTTATGAACGGAAGGAAACTATTGTTTCCTTTCAAAGAATGATAAAGATTAACAATATGTAATACTTGTTTATATTTATTGTTTTGTTTAAAATAATAAAAAACATGTTATTTATTGTACAAGCAAGCGAAGTTACGAGTACATTTTTGTACAAGTCACAAATTGTATAGGATTTGAAATTATGTGCTTTATTATTATGTAAGATAAGTTGTAAATATTTAGCCTTTTATAATAAAGATCTCGCAATCATTTATTACTTTTATTATGTATGTGCGATTGTTGCACTGAGGTTGCTAGACGTCACCAGTTCGAATCGATATGTGGACTGTATGTATATGTGGATTGAATGAGTGTAGATCCTTGTCCAAATTAGTAATATAAGCTCCACCAACCTTAAGGCTCACGTTCACCACGGATGTACGAAGCACTGCTGGTAAATACGCACGGCGATTCACTAGTAGTTGAAGCAACAGCCTCTCAATAACGGACAGGAGAACACTCTTATTTAATAGCGAACACGGCAAGCACGGCTTCCGGAAGGCTATCAGTTTGACTTGAATGTCAACTTCACTTGGATTAGTGGAGGAGGCGCTCACGGGCGCTCTGCCAGGCGTTCACCGAACAAGTGTCAACGCAATATCCATTGATGACAGCTAACCACAAAATTGATGGAACACAAAATGTGTGATTACCCACCAATATTGGATAAGGATCGAACAATGTTGGTAATTCACCAGACAGAGACTGTATGTCTGTCTAACCATGCTTGTATGACAGATTGATATCGACTTTATCATATCAGGCCTTAGCCCTTAAATACCTGAAGTTTCAAATTTGATACCGGGGTTTGCATTTTTTTTTATACAACTTAGAATGGCAAACAAGCTGACGGCCCACCTGATGGAAAGTGGTAACCGTCGCCTATAGACATGAGCAGTGCCATGGACGTAACAGAGAATACTGCTTCGCCCATGATACCCTCCATTCGTTGCCATTCAGATATTATTCCTCTGTACCCAGTAAATTCACGTCATATCCCACCCTTCAAACCGAAACACAGCCATGCAAACACAACTGCTTCACGGTTGAAACACGAATGGGACAGAGGTACCCACGCAATCGACTTTTGTACAAAGTCTCCCTCTTTCATTATTAAATAAATTTAAATATTTTGATTACCGTAATGTCTAAAGTATCAAAAATGATACCAAATGTTTTTTTCAAAATAAATATATAAAAATATCGTTTTGATTTTTTTTACTATTTTTCCCCATTAGTAAACACAGTAAAGGGTACACTTATATATTTTTTTATTTGATTTAAAAAATTAGGCTTTTAAGGGTTAATTGTCCCCTAAGGGGGAACATAAGTCTCCCCCTTAGGGGATTTTGCCAGTAGTTTCCAAGCTTGGCAGGTGGAATAGAAACCGCAGTCAAACTTTAGAGATGTTTTAAGAGGGACGCTGTTGCCCATCCTCCGCCGTTCTTTAGTCTATTACGACACCCACGGGAAAGGAAGGGTTGGTCTATTCTATGCCGGGACCACACGGCCAGTTTGATATGAGAGACAATATTTATTTATTTCTTATTGCATTCCATAATATTATATAATTAGCAGTAAGTTATGCTGATTATGTGATTATTATAGTGAGCAAACACTCGACATATCTACATTTCAAAGAGCACATTAGAAGTCAACGTGGCGGCATAGGGACTCTATTGTCGAGTCTCATATTTTTTTTAATGGACGATAATGGAATAGCAACCCCGCCTACGCTAACGGTATACGCTGACGGGCCACCAGTGAGAGATGACAGGCGAGAATGAAAAGGCAGGTCAGTTATCCCATCGTGATGAATACACCTGGGATTCAGCACGATGGTTTCCAGGGGGAACCACGTGGAGGTCGACCTGACAAGGTATATTGCTAGCAATGGGACTGGTAGTAACCATCCCTTCCCCTTTCCTGTCTCATTCTTTACCGGAGAGTTATGGAGGATTTAATTTGATACGGTATTTTGATCGGTTCGGAAATATTGCTGCTGGAAGTTTTTTGTTTTTTGTTGATTCCAAAAAGTTATTTTAATTTCAAAATAAAACAAATTTCTGTGTGACTAATCTGTAAAAAAATAAATATACTATTTATTTTTTTATTTATTTAAACTTTAATGCACTGTAAAATTCTATGTACATTTGGCGGACTTAACACCGGACAGTGTTCTCTACCAGTCAACCATTGGGCGAACAGAGAAATACGTAGGCGGTGCATTATGGAATAGAGGAAATATAAAGCAATACTTGATATATTCATATACAATAAACATATAAATAGACTAATACAAACGTACACTCTCTCTCTCTTCGTCCTCTTCATCACTAGAGGTCGTGTCCTTGAAAGGTGTCCGTTGCCTCTGTCATGATGTTACTCCATATCGCACGGTCTTCAGCCTCTCGCAGGGCAGCTGCAATTGACAGTCCCGTAACGGCGGTTACTTGGTCGGACCATCGATTAGGCGATCGTCCGCGTGGTCTTTTCCCCTCTATCTTGCCAACATATCAAATATACATATAATATGCCAAATAAATAAATAAATTGATGTAATAAATATATACACAAATATATAAAACATTACTGTATTACACAACTAACTGTATTAGAAATAACAAGCAAATAATCTATGACTGAAACAGAGTAACCAGCAAGATTAACGGGAAAGTGAGAAAAAAAAAATTCTTTTACTTTCAGATAAAAAATGAATTTTCAAATCAATAACTGACAGAGTTATTGAACGTTTTAGCGATTATTTTATAGGATAATCTTAATTAAACCCGGTAATTACGCAGAGCAAGCTTTATTCCATGAACTATGTTGCGAAGCAGGAACCAGAGAGATTTTTAAAAAATACAATCTACCATAAACTAATACATACTTAGTCTATGTTACAAGTCACAGATTATGAATAGTGTTCACAGTTAACAGTTATGAGGTAATTAACATAAAAAAAACAACCAATTGATAACCTCCTTTTTTAAGTCGGTTGAAAATAAATTCGCGAATTCGGTTCAGAATTTCCGAAGATATAGGACTTCAGTCGTAACAGACCAATGGGAGTGAACGCTTTATAGGAAAATAATATAAGGGAATTGAAGATCTACCTTTTCTTGCCCTTTTCGAAATGTGAAAAGTGATGGGGTTCGATAGTAAACCTGATAAGGTCATAGGGATATTTGAAAGGGACTTTCAGTTACCCACGGGTTGTACAGGACCGGAGATCTTTGTAAAGATTAAAAACCTATCTATTGCGAGCGACGATATTTTAGAATACTCCAGTCACCCGCGGGTCCGTCGAGGGTACCCGCACCCATCCACGTTAGTGACAGTTCTCCGAGATTGTGTACGGTCAGCATGAAAAATCAACTAATATCCATTTATATAATTTAAAATATGTGGGGGGAAGGAATTGTTAGTAAAGCGGACTATCAATCCCATTGCTAACAATATATCAGGTCGACCACCCCTTAGTCCTCTTGAGAAACCATAGTTTTGAATTCCAGGAGTATTTTTTTTTTGATGGGTGAATATGGTATAGTAACCCCGCCTGCGCCATCTGGATACGCTGGCGGAGCACCAGTGAAGAAGGAAAGGTGAGGATGAAGCAGGTCACGTGGAGGTCGACCTAATAAGGCATATTGCTAGCAATGGGGCTGTCAAACTCCATTACTAACAATTCCTTTCCCCCCACTACCTGTTTCATTGCTAGCAATATACTGACCAGGTGAACTTCCAGGCGGCTCCCCTGGTAATCATTGTGGTTAATTCTGAATTTGTCACATTGGGCTAACTGATATACCTTTTTATTCTTACCTATCATGCCTCACTGGTGCTCAACCAGTATATACCGGTACCTAGGCTACCATTCCATTTTCATCCATTAAAATAAAATGTACACATAAAAGTGTATAGATGTTTTTGATATCGGTAGGTGTTAAAAGATTTTTGATGCTGACCGTATCTACATTACACGCGTTAGCAATGACGCTCTTATTGTGACGACTTAAGGACTATTATAAATTTACTTTCGCAGTCAGCGTAGCTTCTACCGAATATTCACGCGTTAGAAATGGTTGAGTACCTACAAATAACTTCGTTAAATAACTCAACTAAAGAGTTGTTTAACGAAGTTATTTTGCTTTGTGAATACCAACGTGTTTTGGTTTTAGTGGGATTATAATTAAAAAATGCCGTGTGGTCCCGGCATAGAATGTGTCACCTCTCCTGTAGCTGTGTTCTATATTTAATAGCAATTTCTTCCAGACATTTCTAATTATAATTGTTTTGTATTGGTTTTGTGGTCCCAGCATAGAATGTGTCACCCTTTCCTCTCCTATAGCTGTGTTCTGTATTTAACAGCAATTTCATCCAGATAATCTAATTATAATTGTTTTGTATTGTCTGTGTGGTCCCAGCGTAGAATAGGTCACCCGTTTCTCGTGGGTGTCGTAAGAGGCGAGTAAAGAGAGCGAGGGATGCGCAGTAGCGTCCCTCTTAAAACATCTCTAAACTAACTGCGGTTTCCAATCCGCTTACCAAGCGTGGCAACTACTGCAAAACCATCCAAGAGCAGGCTTATGTCCAACAGTGGATGGTTAAAGGCTGATATAATGATATCAAGGGATTAAATCTTTTGATTAAAAAAATATACGTACATAAATAAATATAATCAGGACCTCTAGACAAGTGGCAAGCGAATTCGTCGATGGAATCGACATCACTAGCGAGTCCGTGAGATAGAATGAGATAGCAACGCCGGATGACTCATTCCAACTCACAGACTCGCTAGCGATGTCGATTTCATCGACGAATTCGCTTGCCACTATTCTAGAAGGCCAGCTGAAAAATCTTTATTTCGGGTGTAAATTGACTTACCCAAACCATGTCGTGTTTTTTTAATGGATGATAATGGTAACCCCGTCTGCGCTATCGGTATACGCTGGCGGGACACCAGTGAGGGATGATAGGTGACGACGAAACCAGGCCAGTTAGCCCATCGTGGTGAATTCTACTAGAATTCACCACGATTCCAAGGGGAAGCACTTGGAGATAGAATGAGATAACAACGCCGGGTAACTCGTTCTAACTTGCGGACTCGCTAACGATGTCGATTCCATCGACGAATTCGCTTGCCACTTGTCTAGAGGCCCACTTCGGAATTTACTAAGACATTGCGAAGCGAACAAATGAAAAATA